TTTGGTGTAAAAAGGGTATTTGAGAGTAAGATGAGATAGTGAAACCACTTAAATGGAAACAAATATCAATTTTACAATATGGACTATATCTTAGAGACAACATGGTAGAAAACATTACAACCACCTGTACGTGGGAATTCAAAATTAGAAGGGGATTATGAGCAATGGGAAAATTTGAGTGAAGCATCTACCAAAAACGGTTTCATATTTTTTCCACCTCTGAACAGAAGGTTTTTCTGCCATTTGCTTCTTTTATTCACATAGAGCATTTCTTTAAATAATGCTTTCGAGTACAGTAATTATATGAGAGCTAGCCTACCATATAAAATAATGCAGAAGCAGTGGAGATTACATAAGAATGGGTATCAAAAGTTAGTGAATAAGAGGAAATTCAGGAGGAGACCTTAACAAATTTATCCAAACAACTTTTTGGTGATCTTTAATCATGCCTATTTGCTGTTTAAAATATGTCTATTGCTTGTGTTTAACATGTTTATCTGCTGCCCCAAAGGACACTGAACTAAACTTCTTCATGTCTGTAAAAAAAAAGATCTAGATATGCAGCCAGTAGCCTTATGACAGGAAAGAGAAAGGAGAAGAAAAAGACAAAGTCTTCCTGTGGCTTATGTATCACCAATCTACACACACACACACACACACAGTTGTTTGTTGAAACACCAAAACTATGTGGACGAGACAGATGGTCGGTGACAGATCACATATGTACAGAGTAGAGAAAAGAGAGAGACCAAAAAACGCTATAAGAACTGGACCTTGATGGAAATCCACTGACACATATCAGAAACATTAGCAGGTCAGTTATAAAACTAAATCGTATTTAATTACAATAACTCAGGGTAGATGTGCAGAACATATTTAAAGACTGTGCAACTGCCGATTTTAGGCCTAAAGGCAGTTTACATAAAGGCGTGAATACCGGATATACTATAAATGTAACAGCTCTAAATAATGTTTTTAGGAATGGTATATTGTTCAGTGTTTTTCAATACTGTGACACATCTCAAAGCAAACTGAAAATGTGTACAATATGACAGCAAAATTGCAAGGCTGTTATATTGGATTTCTTTATTTTGTGCAGGTTTTTATGTAATTTTTTTCACCTTCTGTAGGCTATATGTAGTCATAAGAATTACTCACTTCTTCATGAAAAAGTAATTTAGGAGAGTATCAGACTTAATTTCAATGTTCAAGTGTTTTTGTTTGTTTTTGACAAACAACTTTCTCTTGTATGTTTTAGACAACGGTCATGGAGGGAAATACAACTTTCAATCACAGCCACACCAACAGCACTTGTTCCCGGGACAACGTTTTGAAGACGGTGGCTTTCCCTGTTCTCTACTCTTTCCTTTTCTTGGTGGGGCTATCACTCAATGGCATGGCGGTCTGGGTGTTTTTTCGCATCCCCTCAAAGTCTCACTTCATTATCTACCTGAAGAATATTGTGGTTGCGGATGTCATGATGACTTTCACATTCCCTTTCAAGGTTTGGTTTTACAAGTACCATTTACTTAAAAGGCACACTTATAAAATGGTTTGTAAGTTAACTTACTGTAACTAATGGTGATTAAAAGTTTTGGTTGCTGGGTTGTGAAAAATCTCTCTTGTTGTTGATCATCAAGTCATCAAAAAGGGTCATGAGTTCCTCACTTTTTATAAATGTTAATAACTCATTAGTAGTATTTTTTTGACAACTTGGCAACCCAAAATTATTGGCTCATAATTGAGCTATAAAGCTTTAGTAAAGGCTTTCATAATCAATAATAAAGCAGTTACAACTTAGAAACCCTTTATAAAGACTGACTAATTAGAAAGTGACAGTGTTAACTTCTACGCAAAATATGCCCTAACGCTTGAATTTGAGTGTTTAAAAAATGTAAATGTAAAATGTTAAAGACTGAATGATGTGTTTCTGCAGGTGTTGTCAGACTCCAACATGGCTTCCACTGGGCTGCGGATATTTGTGTGTCGTGTTTCCTCAGTGCTCTTCTACCTCACCATGTATATCAGCATCCTCTTCTTTGGCCTCATCAGTATTGATCGCTGCAGAAAGACCCTCAAGCCTTTCAGGGGGACTAATGCAGCCCGGTTGGTCCGCCGGAAAGTCCTATCAGGAGCCATCTGGACCTTTCTGCTGGTTCTCTGTCTGCCCAATGTGATCCTGACACATAAAACCCCGACTTCTCCGTACTTCAAGTGCAGCGACCTAAAGACAGGGGCTGGGCTGTACTGGCATGAGGTGGTAAATCATGTCTGTCAAGTTATTTTCTGGGCCAACCTGGTGACTGTAATAGCATGCTACACTCTAATCAGCAAAGAGCTGTACAGATCCTACTCCCGCACAAAGTCCCGCAGCACTGGAGGGTCAGGGAAGCCCGACCAGGCCAAAAGAAAAATGAATGCAAATGTGTTCCTTGTTCTGGCAGTGTTCTTCGTGTGCTTTGTGCCATTTCACTTTGCCCGTGTGCCGTACACCATCAGCCAGACCCGAGTTCTATTTGACTGTAAACTCAAACTCTTCTTCTTCCAGCTGAAGGAAAGCACACTCTTCCTCTCATCTTTAAACTCTCTTCTGGACCCTCTCATCTACTTCTTCCTCTGTAAGTCCTTCAGGACAACTTTGTTCAAGACCCTGCAGCTGCGTTCTGGTACCTGTAGCTGGCTGATAAGGGGGTCAGACACGGATACAAGCAGCACCCCTCTAAGAGACTCTTCTGTCTGTACGTAAAACCATTAGATGGGATAAAGACATTCATACGTATCTGAATGTGCACGTTCTGTTGCCAGATCAAGTAGTATTTGATTAAGATCAAGTCCAAATTAAGCTTTTTCAAAACAGAGAATAAGGTCATTGCCAGTGGGAAAAGTTAAAAAGTGTTAACATGAATGATGATGTGTTCTTACTTGTGTTAAACCTGAAGAACCTATGCTGGCATGTTTTTATTTGTTTTCCTTTCTGTTCTCTATTCCAGTTAATAACAACATGAAGTTCCTCTTAATTTTTTTCATACATACTAATCTTGAAAAGAAATATGATGCATTCATTTACAAACTGCTCTAAAATAATCTACCTGTATATTAAACCTCAAGTCTCCCAAATAATCTCTCGGCAATACATTTGTGATTTATTCTTGTTCAGTTTTGCCGCTAACAGTGATCCGCATCTATCTAAGTAAGTAACTAAGTAAGTTTTTAAGGAGTAGAAAGTACTTACAGACATAATATTAGGGGCTTTCCTAGTGACTTAGTTGTGTGTACCATTATTACAACCGACCGGTTTTACAGAAATGGCTCCTGAAACAACAATAAGGAAGTAAAGACAGCTTTATTGTTTGTTGGCCATGTGGTTGTGTCACATTATTTATTGACACTTTTAACAAAGAAGATAACAGTCACATTGTCACTAAATGTTCACTGTTGCACCATTACACTCTTGGAAATGAAAAATTGTATTGTATGTACAAGAGAAGGATGCCCATTAAAAGCATTTAAAGTATATTTTAAGAACTAGTACAAGAAAGCAACCTGGTTTTGCTGACTTAAGACAGATACAACTTCAGTGTGGCATGAAAACACATGGTGATGCATGTTGTTTGAATACCCCCCCACACACACCACCACACACACCACACACACACACACACACACAAACAAGCTCACTCATTATGATTTGCATCTCTGGTTGAAAAGACTGGCACATTTTGGTAGTTAATCTCCTAGGCTGTACAGTGAGGAGGTTAAGGAGATTGAGATGGAGACCATTGTTGGTGAGTGGCTTAATTTTATGTTTTGCTACACAAGATTTTTGGGGGTGTGAGGGAGGGGGGGTAGATTGAGAGGTAAATGAATAAATCAAATGTACGCATTGATTAGAAGTAGACACTGTGTGACTGTAGACTATACATAGTAAAAGTATCTTAGAATCAATCAATAGTAAATACTTGCTTTATCTTTTGCCACTGTTAAACTGGGTATAGTTATTACCGTAATATTACCGTTCTATACATTGTATTTCCTCCTAATATCAGTCTAAATTTAACTGCACAAATGCACTGAATGTATAAAATTTGTACACTGAATACACTGATGAAGACAGGTAAAACTTAATGATCACACTTAATAAACCAATTACAAAGGCGACAAGGACAATAAGACAAATTAATGCAGCTTTGAAGCAACAAAGATCTGTTGTGCAGAAGGGACTGTGACTCAGTAATAGTCTCATAATAATAAATAAAAATAATACAATCCAGTATTTTTGCTTTGGTACTTAGTATGGTGAAAACAAATTCAACAATTGCAAAACTTCCGTCATTCAGTGTCAGGTTCTGCATCCCATTTCAATTTATTCATTTAGCTGATACTTTTATCCAAAGGGACTTACAATTGCTATCTATGTCAGAGGTCACACGCCTCTGGAGCAACTAGGGGTTAAGTGTCTTGCTCAGGGACACAATGGTGGATGGATCACAGTGGGAATTGAACCCGGGTCTCTCACACCAAAAACTTATCCGTTGCCCCATCAACACCCATTGCACATGCATTCAAATGCTCTGGTTGAAAAAAACAAATCAAAGTAACAAATGTATTTTAGACTAATGACAAGTGCAAATCAGGTCCAAGTGGACAAGCAGGAAACATTTAGAGCAAAGAGTCTTTGGCAGGGGCCAACGCTCATTAAACCTCAGCCCCTGGAACTCGCTTCTGTCCAATCATTTACTCCAAAACCCCTTTGAGATTTTATCTCACTAAATGTTGCTCCAACACATGAATCAACTCATTTCCCCTCCAAATTTGTTGAAACATAGTTAAGACATATTATTTAAAAGCTTAAGATCATGATTTGGGTCTGGTCTACAGACTCTGTCTCTCCTATGAGCTGATCATACAAGAAACCAGCTAAGGATTCTGATGAAAATCAGCAGAATTCAAAAGAGTTTTTCTATGATGTGTCTGTATTTATTTTTTCATTCCAGATTTTACGATCATGTCCAACAACTCAGCACTCTTCTCCTCTGACTGTGCTACTTTCAGCCAAGTGACTGTAAATGTGGCCATCACGTACCTTTTCTTCTTCTTGTTCCCTGTTGCATTACTGCTCAATGGGATAGCAGCGTGGGTGTCTTTGCATCTCCCGTCCACCTCCACCTTCATAGTGTATCTCAAAAACCTGGTGGCTTCTGACCTGCTCCTGACACTGACACTACCAGTGACAGCAGCTAGCATGCTACCTGAAGCGGCAGTCGAGTTAAGGATTTTTGCTTGCCGTTACTCTTATGTAATTTTCTACTGCTGTTTGTACACAAGTATTGCTTTAATGGGTCTTATCAGCCTTGACCGCTTTTTCAAAATTGTTAGACCATGTGGAAAAATGTTAGGACAAAACGTGGTCTTCAGTCTTGTAATGTCCACCTTGGTTTGGATGGGTTTATTTGGCTTTACAGTCATCCCAACTATCATTCTGACTGACCAAACTCCTGTTAATATAACAGGAGATTTCTGTATATCCCTGAAAAGTCTAGCTGGTGTGACGATTCACAAGAATGTGGTTATTTCTATGGAGATTCTTTTCTGGCTTGTCAGCATACTGATTGTGTTTTGCTACATCTGCATCACTCTGAAAGTCATACAGTCCTTCCGAAAATCTGGGAGCAACAACAGCCAAGGAAAGAACAAGACTAAACTACGAGTCTTCTTGATCCTTTTTGTGTTTTTTGTGTGTTTTGTGCCTCTTCACGTTATGCGTGTTCCATTCACACAATACGAAATCTTTGGCATTGAGGGCTGTGCTCAAATGTGGGTGCTTATAGTCCAAAAATTTGTCCTGTGGCTCTCTACAACTAATGTCTGTCTGGACCCTCTTCTTTACATTTACCTGTGTAAGGAGTACAGAGACAAACTGGTTGACATAATGAAAGCTAAAGGGATCTGTGTTGGGTTATACTCAGGTGAAAGAGGGGAGACTTCAGCAAATGTTGGATGAAATGAGAGACTAATAATATGTCCTCAGTCACAAATTGCATTGTTCTTTTGTTTTATGGATTGACAAACATGAATATTTTAGCAAGCAAGACCGCCTTAGAATCTTCCAGTAACTTTTAATCTTTACATTTTATGTTGTACTGCCCTCTAGTGATCTAATGCAGATTAGCATCTATTGAGACTAAGGTCCACTGAGAGAAACAAAGTAGGAACATGATAAAAACCACATGATAAATGTGATGTAAATTTCATTGTAAAACTATGCAAATGTATTATTTGATTCTAAATTAAGTGGGTTCGACCATTTGAACACCAAATTCTGTGTTAAATCTCAGTGGTCATGTCTCAGAGCAGTGTGTCTTTTATTTGTCATTGTGTTTTTTATGGTGATCTTGTTTTGTGTGTTTTACCTTGTAAAGTGTCTTTGAGTACCTTTTAAAATGCTATATAAATAAAATGTATTATAGTGTTGTGTATAGTGTTGTGCGCACACACACACACATGCATACATATATATACACTCTTTCTTGCATGTTTTCACAACTCACCATAACTTAACTAGATTATCTCCATCATTATTACAACTATTCCCTGCACACAGAAAAGAATGGAAACAGGGACTGCCATTTATTTACTACACCAAAGAACAATATGATATCCTACAAAGTATTGGTCTTTTATTTCAAGGGCTAAAATAAATGGTAACATAAATCTCTTCACAACAATTCTCATAAATCCTGTACCCAAACGTAATAACTCGCAAAAGAGCATTGTTTAGTTGCCAAAAAATGATTTATTTTTATTTGAATAATACATTTCTCATTTTCAGTTTTTCATGGCCTCATTAAACAATCTCATTATATTTAATAACTCTCTACATAATAAACTATGTGTGTATGCAACAATCTTTCTCAGTGCCAAGAAATGAAATGAAGAATCTAAATTAAATACCAATGCACCCACTTGGTTAGTAACCACAATACTCTAGACTACAATGGAACAATAATTTTGGTCACTAATACACACATAACACATATTCCAAATATTTCTAATTGATTTGACTGAAATGGAACTGAAATCCACCCCTTTATACAACTTCATTTGTTTAAGCAGACAATCGCCTATGCTCCAGTTTAGCCTGTCAAAACTGAAGTGTATGCAGACCAAACTTTGAATCATTTTTCACTGCTTTCACACAAAATGTATTCACTGACCATTTTCTCCAAAATCCATGAACTCTTTTGTCATTACTTCTCCACCACAAAACACTGTATATTTGCAGCACATTTTTCAAATGCCAACAGTGTCCAAAACTGTAAAAAAAAATAAATAAATAAATAAAATAAAATAAATATACTTTTTTTTTAAAATAAGCATTCAAAACAGAATAATGGCAAATGTCCTTTATTTCTCAGTAACCAGAAGGAAACATGTAGAAAATATTAGCACAATATTTACGTAAATGTTATGTTTCCATCTATGAGCATAAATAACTGTGTGAAGTGTTTTGAAATAGATAAAATGTAGTTTAGAACTGCAAACTAAGTGTAATGTAGGAAATGTGCTTGTATTAGCAGACTTGGTTCATGGGGTTGGTACATAAATTATAAGTTGGTCAATGTGTCTCAAGTAGCAGTGTTAGTCGTTCTCCATTGCTAAGACACACTTAATGAAATGGTCTTCTCTTGCCAATGTGTACTTTTTCATTGGTTTCATACCCTTTTTTAGAGACAGTTCACGCAGATCGCATTGAAAGACCCCAAACTCTACTGAATGAACTGTGCAGAACAAAAGGAAAACATTTATTCACAGTTGCAGGAAATTGCTTGCATCATTATGAATCTCTAATGCACCTGTGTGAAAGTCCTTTGCACAACTCTTTAATCAGCAATCAGTCCTCATCCATCTATAGAAGATGCCACCTCTGTGTTGCTTACTTGCAAGCATGGATCAAAGGGGCCAAAGGCACATAAGGAGAGTAAGAGGGTATGAATGGCTTTGTTTGCCTTTTTGGCACAGGCATATAGCAAATATTATGGGTGAACTGGTCCATATTGATAACTGCATTTTGTTGTCCATTGTGTAATGATTGATTAAAATGATATATTAGTTTTAACACAAGTTGTGTTGTTTGATGAAAATATTTGCTTGTTTTTAATGTTTAGTGAGTGGAAAGCATTTTGCAAACAAAATGTGTTTTCATTTTGGCAGTGACTCTCAGTTTAGGTAATGCAAACTGTATTAAGAGTTTTGAAAAAGGCTTTAGTTTTGACGATTGTATGTTAGCAATCAAAACTAACTGAGGCCACCCTTTGGTCAGATGATGCCACTGCAACAACTGAGCATAATCAGCTCTTCAATTCTTGCAGAAACTGGTGCAATCAATCAGTCAATCAATAAGCAAAGTTAACCACGTAACAAAGAGAAAAGACAACCAAATGACAAGCACAAAAAAAGGAAATGACTTGCCTGCTTACCTTTTTTATCAAAGAATCATCAATTGCTGCTATATACATATAAATAAAATTTAGTTTCTTCTTCCAACAATAAACAATACAGTGATGGTAAGTGGGGAAACAAATTATGTGTATTTAGCCTTCCAAATGATGCTCAGAGCTAAGGTCACACTAATATCAGGAACATTTATTATGCTAATGACTGAGAGGATGATGACTTGCATTAAGAATGCGCGAGAGTTCGGATCGAAGGTTCTTTTCATAAACACTAAGCTTTGCTCAACTCCATCTCAAAAATTAAGACAAGAAATAGCGATGTCTGAGGTTCATGTGGGGGCTAAAGGAATCCGAGACTTCATCTTATCCAATAGATGCTCTGTGTGGTGTATGACATCTGTTTGCTTTTGGCTAAAGACTAGGAAGTTTTTCCTATTTTTGCATATGATTGCCAGTCTTATCACAGCTGAAATGTTGATTTGTTTTCTAGGAAAATCAAAAGTGTGTCTTAAACACCTGCCATACCAGTGCGTTGTCACAGATGTCCATCTTGCAGCTTTGCGTTTGAGAAGAGGAAATCAAGTCATCAACTGTAAGTTATTATCAAAATGTATCTTATATACATCATTAGTTGATAATGTAGTATTTGATCAATGATAGTCTAATCCGTGATAACAAAGATAGCAGCTCAGCTAATCCCTTTAACATCTCCTTCTGAAGAGGTCTCTTAAAACATTAACTATAATGTACTATTATACAACAAAAGCATGGCAAAGCATGTTTTAAGTTAAAATGCACTCAGTGAATGCAAAAAAAATAATGAAGCCAAAAAACAACTTAATCAATCTGAAACAATGTTTTTCACTACCAGCTAAAACATACTATAAAGAAATGTGAGCCTTGTGTTCCGTTAGTAGGGGAAAGAGACTTTCCTACATGAAATATGTTGTTTTTAAATGATAACGTTCATAATAATAAGGTTTCCATGTTTTTAATTAGTTGAAACAGTTACTTCTTCTCGTGTATATGTGTATAAAGAAAAAATGAGCAGTCCTACCAGGGCAAGGAAACCTATATGCTCCCTTTACTTAATTCTAAATCTATACTCAAATGTATTTATACTTACTTATTAATTCACTTTTTTGGTTAGGGTTGGAAAAAAATATGACTAAATGTGTTGGAGAAAACATACATGTATAATGGAAAATATTATACTAAAAAACACATTTATATACACTACTTTGTAGTAAACACCACCATAAATGACATGCTGCTCCTATTTATATGCTTTGCTTAGCGTACAATCCTGACTCGAATAAGTGACGGACGATGGAGGAATGGATGGATCCTCCCCTTGACATTAACCAGGAAAGTGAGTGGAGAACTCAATGTCACCACACTCCCGATCTTAACACTAAGTTAACTCACACAAATTATTTTTTGTTGAATTATTTCTCAGCGACTGTGGGATACTATTAGAATCATGAACTGCTGAACATTGCACATATTCAGAGGGACAATTTGTTTAAAATGCATGATTTATAGCTTACATGACAATGTTTCTTGACAAGTTGAATTGTGGGTCAAATAATGTATTTATAATAACATTGGATTATAATTTATTATTATGTAACGGTTTTATTTTCCTCAGGTGCAGTGATGCCACTGAATCAAACATTGGCCAACGGTTTGGAGTGTGACGGTTTCATCTACTACCCAAATTTAGTCCCAGCTCTCTACTTTTTGATGTTCCCCATAGCTTTGGTGCTGAATGGTGTGGCAGCCTGGGTGTCTCTGCACCTCAAGTCCACCTCCACCTTTGTGGTGTACCTGAAAAATCTAGTAGCTGCTGATGTTATCATGACCTTGATCATCCCAATCAATGCTGCAAGCGACTTGCCCACTGCGTCAAAATTATTATTTGTACTTTCATGCCGTTTTTTCAGTGTCATTTTCTACAGTACACTGTACACATGTATCACCCTGTTGGGGTTAATAAGTCTCGACCGTTTCTTCAAGATCGTGGCACCCCGCATCAAGTTTGGTCAGAATCTGACCTTTAGCAAACTGATATCAGGCTCAGTCTGGGTAATAATGTTTGGAGGCACAGCTTTACCAAATATCATGTTTAGTAACAAATCAGTAGGCAATTTGACCAAGATCACCTCTTGTATGACGCTGAAAGAACCAGCTGGGCTTGAACTCCATCAAAGAACAGTAATATACCTGAATGTTTTGTTCTGGCTTGTCAGCGTGGTCATTGCGGTTTGCTACATTTGCATCACAAACAAGGTTATCCAGTCTTTTAGAAACTCTGGCAGCAATAACAACCAGGGGAAGCAGAAGATCAAACTACGTGTCTTTCTTGTTGTCGTGGTGTTTTTTGTGTCATTCGGACCGTACCACATTGTGAGGATCCCGTACACTTTTCAACAAGTCAACTACGTTCCAACGGGCTGCGCTTACTTAAAGGGCAGGTTTACTAAGGAACTCAGTCTCTGGTTTGCCACCACAAACATCTGCATGAACCCACTCCTCTATGTCTTTCTGTGTAGGGAGTTCAAGGAGAAGCTGGTGTCTATGATGAAAAATGTTTCCCTCTTATGCCGAGTAGCCTCAGCAGGGAAAGCAGAGGGCACAGAGTAGATTCTGAAAGAGGTCATGAAAATGCTATACCACGGCTAGATGTTACTGAAGATTTTGCAGACTGAATGTCAGATTATTGTTTGACTTATACAGCATTATATATTAAGATTTTGCTATTTACTGCAGTTACTTTTTACTTTGTGTTGTGTTCAGTTGTGCTTTGCTGCTTTGTGTCTTGTCAGAGCGTCGCTCCAAATAACTTGAAAACCATTAACAGGAAATACAATAAGGATGGCTGAGATAAACAGGAGACAAGGGGGTGATGTTATAATGCAGTTTTTCCATGTCAACAAAACAGTTTTATAGCAGCTCTGGAAGTTCAAAATCCAAAGACAAATACAGTTCTAGGTGTGGGACTGTAAATGAAGGTGCCATGCAAAGCAAGTTAAGTTAAAGCGAAAGCTGACATTTGCATCGCACACTTCATGTACTGTGTTTGTGGTAACAGTCAAACTGGGTCATGTCTTTAATAGGGTGTTGCACATGTGCAATGTTGCAATGTGTCTATAAGCCAATGTGATCATTTTGTAGCATGCCACTCTGCACTCACCATGGATAGTTAATGCAAATAATAAAAAGATGTGGGCTAAAAGGACCAAGTTTTACTTACATGTTTCTTTTTATCAATAAGGTGTTAAGCTATAAAAGAAACTATAACAATGAATCCGTAAATAAACAGAAAATTATTCTTTAAATTAAATTATTATTCTCAGATATTATTCTCAGATAAAAACTACTTTTATATATATTTATTTTCCATTAAAAGGGGCCCTGATTGTATATTCCAGTTGAGCAAATGAAGTTTCTTCTTTCTTTCCACTATATACTCAATAAAGGGTTTGCTAAGATTGTGACTGAAACAGAAAATATGACTGCTGGTAAATACTGTACTGCATACAAATGGAATGAGCACCAAAACATATGATGTTGCATTCTCTTCTTTTATTTGAGCATTTAAAAAAAGGTTGTATTTATGTATTTGCAATCCTACTTGTAAATGCTTTTCTTAAGCGTGAATATGTATAATATGTATCTGTGAATTGTCTGTGCATCAGCCTATGTTTGAACTGTATTATTTTTTGTACAGTCTCTCCTGCAAAAGAGATCCCGATCTTTATGAGACTACCTGTCTAAATAAAAATTAATAATAAAATAAAATGTGGTAATCTGGGGTTAACTGCCATTCTGATTATTTATTAAGACCTATAGTCTTTGTGGGTACTTACAGTAAAAGAGATTCTGATTAAACAAGAATGCGTTATTGTAACATACATTGAAAGTTCACTTGGGAACCTGTAGTAAACATGTACATGTCCCAGCTACTTTTCTTTCCCATTGGTCACATTTCCTGGCCCAAAACCAAGTGAAATCACACAGGAAATGTTGTTCTCAGAATGCACTATTTTTATCAAAACAGCACAAAAGGGAATAAAACTCCAAGCAAAGGCAAAACTTAATCAGATATAAGTGGAAGGGAATGTTTAATCACTTACTTGTAGTTTCTTGGGTTAGACAATAGTTACAGATGATGTTAGTTATCATAAGCAGACTCGCGGAGTACATGTGGTCTTAACCACATGCATGTCACTGCTTGCATTTATGATAAATGAATTGAAGGGAACCAGAAAAACACTCTGAGAAGATAGAGGCGCATTACATTTCTCTCTCACTATAGCGTTTGTTTAATTCGTCTCTTTGATTGGTGCTTTTAATCATGAGTCTCATGATGAGAAAAGACAGACACATAGGAGGTGGGGTACATAAGCTGCAGGGTGGAAGGAGGAGTAGAGGAGTGCAGGAGGTCGCTAGATGTGGGTTGAGAAATGAGTCCATGCCTTTGGTGTTTGCCTGTCAACAGTTACTGAGACTGACGCAAGCTAGCGGAGGCAGGAGGACTGGCACGGAGCAGAACAAGCCTCTCTGCAGACAATTGGGACAGGAAGCAAGGAAGGAAGGGTCTTTCACCCAGAGGAAGACTGGCAAACTCATTGGGATTGTGACAAGACAGCCACACAGTAGCTCCAGAGACCACCCATTGTAAGAGCATCAAACACACACACACACACACAAAGAGAGAGAGAGAGAGATATAAGACAGAGCCTGAAAGTCTTTAGGTCAGAAGTGGTATTCTTTGATTGAAGAACTAAAAGTAACACTAAGAGGTTTTCAATGTTGGATTTTCTATCATTGCATTTGGTAAGAAGAAGAAAGGGGAATTGGATCTCACTTCTTCCTTTTTTTTTTTTTTGAAATACTGACGTTTTTCATTTCTTTACTCATTATTCTTCATGAGCCCTGCAGTCACAGACAATAAGGACATTAAGAAGGTAAAACTCAATTATTGGCTTTACAAGTACATCTTCTAGATAAAATACCAGTCCAAGCCGGGCAAGATAGAATGTGTGTAACAATAGCTTTAACAGACCTAATCAACATAAGTATCACACTTAAACAGACAAATCTTTGAGAATATTGTGTATATGGTTGCCATAGCACTTGCTCTTGGCACCGATGTTATTCTAAGCTGTTAAGGTCTTCACTGTAAAGACAGCACACAAGGCAGATATTCTGTCAGACAGGAGGAGAATTCAGAATGAACACATGCAATATCTAGGCTAGTTGTTGGATGCAACGGTCTAGGTTTCTTTTTAACATTGGAATGGAGACATATTAAGTGGGAGGTCTGGGGATTTTGCGTGTTAAACATTTAATTTTCTAGTGATTTTTATCTGTACCAATTTCTGCATATATTTATGGTGAAAATGTCTTTTTGTTAGGGGAAATACAAAATTCAGGCAGCAGGTGACAATTCAAAATATAAAAGTACAATGGAATTTAATGCAGTAAGGCTCTCATTCATTCTGTATGTATAGTGTATTCTCCCGTAGATCAACTTTTCTCATTTAATATGATCCCTGCTGAGTCAACAGTATGTACAATGTAGGCATAATTCAGTCTTCCTTCTTCTTTTGTATATTTTGTTTGGGGAAGTTACCTCTTTAAACATGCATGTAGCACCTGTTCAAACATAAGTTAATTAATTTATAAACCACTGGACTTTAATAACTCCTGTATTCCAGAACCTTTTCTGCTCTTTCTCCACTTTGAAAAATCTATTGACACAACTCAAGTCAGTCGGTGCCTTATTTATTATTATTAATTCTTTTTAATTTTTTTTTAGATTTGTGTCTGTGAGTTTTGTCCATTGTCTGCTTGTTTCTGTGTTTTATTGAGAAATGGTCTGTGTCGGGTGGTTGTCGCATGCTTGTTTTGGTTTTGATCTGCATGTTTACCTGTTTTGTTCGTGTGCTTTTCTGTTCCCAGTCAGTGTCTCATGTTTGTTTCTTTCTGTTGTCCTGTTTCCTGTTTTAGTTTTTAAATGTCTGCACCTGTTTCCAGGGTTAGGGTTAGAGTTAGGGTTCTGTCTAGTTTTTTCTGTTCTAGTTCATTCTGATTACCCCAATGTGTTACACCTGATGTGTCCCGCATTGCCAGTTTGACCTCATTGGACCGTCTTGTATATGCTTTCTGTCATTTGAGTTCTGTGCATCGTCAAGTTTTTTTTGTAGTTATATTGTCTCACTTGCCTGCCATTCTGGAAAATAGTTGGTTTGGATTAGGTTTTCTTTGCTTGTTGGTAGGGCTGCAACAATCAATCGACGTAATCGACAACGACTATAAAATGTTGACACGTTGTTCCAAAGATGCCGTTTAAGGGAGCGATAGCCATCTTCGAATAAGAACATTTGTGGTTGTTAATTTCTAACTGCAATGTACTACATGGAATGCTAGGTTCCACTGTATGCCAAGACTACTCACGAAGAAGAAGGATTCATGCGAGATGTGGAAAGCAATGGAGAAAAAGGGTAACAGCCATAGACTGTATATAATGGTGCGTTCCATTTACTTCGGAAGTCGGAGGTCGGAGCTGGGAATGACGTCACACCCGAGCTGACGGCGTTCCAGTTAACAAGTCGGAAAACCTCGCATGGATAGCCGTTGTTTACAACTAGCCAGGTTAGCTATTGATACGCTGGTTAATTTTTAAAAAACGCATTGTGTGGTATTTACTTATACTAAACACTGTAGCAACACTAACACATACAGCTGTTGGACAGCACTTTGTCTATGAACATTTCTATGAGACACAAGTACACAGAAGTGCTAATAAACAGTATAAACTAGAGCTTTCACTAACTGTTGATACCCCGACAGCCATCTGGGACCACGAAGTCGGAGTAGTGCGATTCTCCCGACTTGTCAGACAGAATCCCGACTTAAGGGGCGTTCCCTTTGAAATTTTGACCTTTGAACTCGGAAATTCCGACTTCCCATGTCAAATTGAACGCACCATAAGAAGTGGATGTAGTCAGCGTGACGTCACCCGTTGATTTGTGGACTGCCGTTTTGAAGCCTCAAGTTTGGCTGTTGGCTTATAGTCTATTTTCTTCTAAATGGGACCATAATTTATTAAATGAACATCATGTTGTATTGAAGAAGACATGAAACAACTGAAACCATAAACTCATTAGGAAAGTGTTTACTGAGGTAATAAACCAGGTGAAAAGTAGGGTCATTTTACCATTATTCCTAAGGAACCGGATTTCTTTTTGCAACCAGAAGAGTCGCCCCCTGCTGGCCGTTCAATAGAATGCAGGTTTAAGGGACTTCTGCATTGGAATTACGTCTCAGACCGTGAGCTTCCCGCTTGGTAACAGCAGAACGTTTTTTGTTTTTACAAGTTTAGTACTCTATTTAATCACTAATTACACTTTTGAGCAGTTTTGAGATGAGAAATCAACTGTGTAGAACTTGAATATTGGCAGTTTTACGAAAGTTGATGGCGAATCAAAAAATTAGCTTGCACTTTTTCGGAGTTGAGAAGCTCCATAAACGCCAACAAGGTTAGCGGTGCCTGCCGGCCGGCCAATCAGATCACGCCCAGGGCCGGCACGCCCACAGAGCCCTCTGATCTCAGACCACTGCAGCAGCAACAACAACAACAACAGAGCAGCAGCGACAGAGGAAAGGCCACAACTGTAAGATAGTTTCAATGTTCATACCGCTGCTACTCTGTCATTACAATCTGAGTAATGGTTTAAGGTAAATCAAGAAACAGCTGGCTCGTGATGTAGCCTACAGAACATTCTCCACTAAGTTATAGCCTAAAACTTATAAGCACTTAATAAAAATAAACAAGAGAAGTAGCAAGAAAAGGGACTTCCGCTTTATTATTCTAAATAAACATTACATTGTCAGTGTAAAGTTGTGGTTATAGTTCTTGCTTTTAATTTGCTTTTATTTTATATAGTTCCATAGCAAAAATATTTGTTAAACAGTTAAAAGTTTTAAAGTTAGTTTAAACCAGTGAATTATAGAAGTAGCCTACACTGTCTTGTCTTCTTCCCTGGTTTCCCCCTGGCGTAGATACTAGTGTTCATTCTGAATAGTAAACCTCATTCACTTAATGATAATGTTAGCTAGATAGGCTGTGTGTTGGAGATCAGTAATTCACTTGAAAGATATTTAATTAGTTAAATGGTTCAATAAGGGTTAGGGTGAGACAAAAATAATCGTGACTAGTCGACTAATCAA